AAGTTGATGCAGTAGGGAAATAGACGTACAATGCTAGTGAGATTATAAATTAAGAGGACTTCTAAGAGTCACTTGTCATTCTTCCAGATTTACAAGATCAAATGTCCTTCAATTACTGTTTACTGGAATTTAGCCCACAAGTGTACTGGAATGATTATGCACAGCATACACGTTATAGCATTGTTTGTAATAGAGGAAACTGGAAATACTCCAAATGTACATCAGAGGGGACAGATCAATGAATTATGTATGTCCATTCAATGAGGTCCTCTGCAGCCTTTGAAAGAATGAGACAGCCCTGTGATATGGAGTGAGCTTTCAGATGTAGTAATGTTAAGTGAAAGAGCAGGGTGCTGAGCAGTGTGGATAGTGTGACATCACTTGTGTTGGGGGTGAGGAGAAATCACACTTAGGTGTATGCTCGTCTCTGAACCAATTATTTCTGGAAAGATACCAAGGAAACCTAACTGATTATCTCTGGGAAGAGTGCTGGTTGGTGGGGGGCAGGGGTAAAAGGAGGCTTTTTTTGTTTCTGTTTTTATTGGAGTATAGTTGACTTACAATGTTGTGTTAGTTTCAGGTGTACAGCAAAGTAAATCAGTCATACACATATAAAAAGGAGACATTTTTTCCATAGTCTACACTTTTCAGCCTTTTAATTTTGTATCATGTGTATGTACTGTCTTCAAAAATAATTTAAAAAATAAAAGCAATGAAAAATTACAAAGAAAAATATGGATTGTTTTGGCAATATAAAAGTTTACCTGTGTTACAAAATATATCACGAAAAGAAAGCACCAGCAGTGAGGAAAATAAGGACATATTGCGTGTTTTGTTTTTGTTTTTTTATAAATTTATTTATTTTATTTATTTATCTTTGGCTGCACTGAGTCTTCGTTGCTAGGCGCGGGCTTTCTCTAATTGTGGCGAGCGGGGGCTACTCTTCGTTGCGGTGCTCGGGCTTCTCATTGCGGTGGCTTCTCTTGTTGCGGAGCACGGGCTCTAGGTGCGTGGGCTTCAGTAGTTGTGGCGCACGGGCTCAGTTGCTCCGCAGCATGTGGGATCTTCCTGGACCAGGGCTCAAACCCATGTTCCCTGCCTTGGCAGGAGGATTCTTAACCACTGCGCCACCAGGGAAGTCCCACATTGTGTGTTTTTAATGCGCTAGATGCTTTAGGTATATTACTTAATCCTCATAAATCCTCCGAGAAATATGAAGTTTTAACTGTATCATATAGAAAGACGAGATGAAGGGAGACTTAGAGATATCAGCATTCAGCTATTAAGGGGCCAAGGGTGTATTTGAACTCAAGTCTTTCTGATTTCAATGGTTTTGGTTTTTTTTCTTCACCAAACCACACTGCTTCCAATTAGTGATCCTTTTAGGTTAACAAACAACTGTGCCTCAACATTCGTCAGCAGCAATTACCTGAAATGTCCACAAGGTGGAAATGTTGGATGATAGTAGTCATTTTTCTCTGTAAAACTTGATGCTACACTATCCAAGTGGAATAGTTAAATCGATATAATCTATTTTGCAGTAATGATATTTTTATTTTGTAATTTGTTATGTAGCCAGCTAGAATGTTTTAAATATTCAGTAATAATAGTAGTTAATATGGCTTTTTATGTGCCAGACAGTATTCTTTTTAAATCTTTTAAACAAATAATATTATGAGGTGTTTGCTATTATAATCTTCATTTTAGCAATGAGGGATAGAGCATAGAGATAATAAATAGCTTATTCAGAGTGGCACATCTAGTAAATGATAGAGCTGGAATTCAAACCTAGACACTTATTGATATCTTTTTGAAAAAAGATAGAGGTTTGTTTTACCAGTGTGATTATGTAAATTTTACCTGTACATAAATTTAAGAGTACTGTTTTTAGTAAACTCTTATTAGCTGGATGTTTCTTGGACTGTATACTCCCTCATTTCCAAATCAAATTAGAAAATTAGACATAATTTTAAGACATAATTTAAGATATTGTGTCTTAAAATGTTAACTGTGAATTAAAATACTAGTGGTCAAAAAAAATTTTTTTAATAAAATTTAAAAAATTAGTGGTCAGAATTTCATTCTTAGTGGTAGAAAACATATTAGATCCTCTCTGGAGAGTTCAGACTTTCTTACCTACCCCCCTCTGTCTACAGTTACATATCTTAAGTTGTCCGCATTTCATCATGAAAACATTGACCTAAGGAAATGCCACATTTATTGCTCTATGAAATATCTTGTACATGTGAGAAAAATGAAATAAATCAGTAAAAGTGTATGTTTTCTTTAGTTGCAGAACTTGAAGTGAAAACCAGAGAAAAATTAGAAGCTGCAAAAAAAAAAACAAGCTTTGAAATTGCAGAGCTTAAAGAGAGATTAAAAGCAAGTCGTGAAACTATAAATTGTTTAAAAAATGAAATCAGGAAACTCGAAGAAGATGATCAGACAAAAGAAATATAAACAGTTCTGAAGAGAACTCGATAGTAAGTGAAACTAAAAATAAGGTGGAGTTTAAAGGAGAGATGTACTACAAATGCTGCAATGTTTCTTAGAGGAACTGCACATATAGTTGTCAGCCATAGATTTCTCAGCAATGGGGTCAAAGTATTTGTACTTTACAAGCAATCTTTAATATAAAATATATGTGTATAATGCTGTATAGGCATTTTATCAACCCATTTCGGGGTAGTTCTGTGATACTAAGCACAATTTTAAAACATTTTTATTGCATTGTATGTATAGCTTATCCTTTTGACAGACATCAAAATTTCATTATAAAGTATAACTTGTACGAATTTTGTACTTCCCTAGTAGTTAGAATTCGTGGTAAAATTAATGTATTTAATTTCTTAAGTTCTTACCTGCCCCCATCCCAACTCTTTTGTATCTGATGTACCCAGTGCCCAATAAGCACTCAATAAATGCAGTTTACAGTTGCTGTTTCTGCCTCTTGATGTATTTCTTTGCCTTGAAGCAATTCACACTCTCTCGTTACAGTTAATGTATCTCCATAGTATTGTGACCATGCATCTCTTATTTGCAGTCACTGTAGCATACAGAAGCTCTCTGACAGCCAAGATCATATCTTAAGTATTGTTCTGCCTAACTCCCACAGTGTCATTAGTTTTACATAGAACAATATTCAGTCCTTCATGCCTGTTCCAAAGATATATAGTAGGGGACCCCAACCGGGGCCACAGACTGGTATCGGTTTGTGGCTATTAAGAACAGGGCCACACAGCAGGAGGTGAGTGGCAGGCTGGTGAGTGAGCAAAGCTTCATCTGTATTTACAGCCGCTCCCCATCACTCACATTACCACCTGAGCTCCACCTCCTGTAGATCAGAGGTGGCATTAGATTCTCATAGGAGTGGGGACCCTACTGTGAACTGGGCACGCGAGGGATCTAGGTTGTGCGCTCCTTATGAGAATCTAATGCCTGATGATCTGAGGTGGAGCTGAGGCAGCCCCATCACCCCCAGATGGGACCATCTAGTTGCAGGAAAACAAGCTTAGGGCTCCCACTGATTCTGCATAATGGTGAGTTGTATAATTATTTCATTATATGTTACAATGTAATAATAATAGAAATAAAGTGCACAATAAATGTAATGCGCTTGAATCATCCCAAAACCATCCCCACCCCATCCCCAGTCCGTGGAAAAACTGTCTTCCGTGAAACCGGTCCCTGGTGCCAAAAATGTTGGGGACTGCTGACATATAGGATGCAGCTGTGCATCAATTTTACATACTTCCCCTAATTTCTCTACCTTATCCTCAGGCTGTCCTGTTCAGATCCACATGGTGAGTCCTCTATTTTTGACTCATCTAATTTGAACATTAGTGGTACTTAATTTTTAAGGCCATGTTGGCTGACCCATCTTGGCAACCTAGGAGCAACAATAAGTAGGAAAGTATTTTGGAAAACATATAATATTAACATGTTACAAAGCTGCTAAAAATGGAAACCACACATGTGCCTAATGCAGATTCTATACCTTCTACAGAGTGATAACTAGCCACTCTAGTACTTTAAGATACTTTTAATCTACCTGCCCTGGTGGATTGGTTAATTTTTACTTTGTTGCTTTATTTTCTAGGTTGTGACATTTATAAGCATTATGGAGGTTGGACAAAGCTGTGGTCTGAGATTTCTGCCAGGGGTTCTCTGGGGGGTTGGAGATGGCACTTCTAATTGTGCTAGGCATCATTCAGCTCTCCCCTACCTTTTACCCCAATGCCCACAGAATAGGGTAGGGCTTGGGGATAAATCAAAAAAGAATGGGGAGAAGTCCCATTCTACTGGGTTTGCCAAAAGGTTAATTTGGTTTTTTCCATAAGATGGCTCTAGTAGCACTTACTTGTCTTTAACTTCATTTGAAACAATTTTGTTAGATTGTATGTGACAGCTGTCATATCAGCATGCATTTAAAAGACATCAAAATTGGTGAAGTTTTGTGTAGCCATTTTAATGTTGAAGATGGAAGAAAAAGCAGCATTTTCAGCATATTATGCTCTATTATTTCAAGAAAGGTAGAAACGCGGGGACTTCCCTGGCGGTGCAGTGGTTAAGAATCCGCCTGATAATGCAGGAGACATGGGTTCGAGCCCTGGTCCAGGAAGATCCTACATGCTGCGGAGCAACTAAGCCTGTGCGCCACAACTACTGAGCCTGCGCTCCAGAGTCCACGAGCCACAACTACTGAGCCCGCGTGCCACAACTACTGAAGCCCGCGTACCTAGAGCCCGTGCTCCACAACAAGAGAAGCCACCGCAATGAGAAGCCCGTGCACCGCAACGAAGAGTAGCCCCCGCTCGCTGCAACTAGAGAAAGCCTGCGTACAGCAACTAAGACCCAATGCAGCCATAAATAAATAAATTTATTTTTAAAAACCCAAATATGCAAGATATATACAAGGATGTTCACTGCACTATTGTTTACATAACAAAAAATTGGAAGCAAGGTAAATGCCCATCAATAGGAGCTGCATAAATTATGCTATGATATAGTGATATGATGGACTCCTCTGTAGTTGTCAAAGTGGATAAAGCACATCTGTATGCTCTGACATGAAAAAATACCTGGATTATACTGATTGGTGAGCAAGAAAAAGGCACTTTGCAAAATAGTGTTCATGATTCCGTTTTTTGTAAATAATATTACATTAGCGTATAGAGAGAAAGCATGACTTGGAGGAATTTTCACCCATCTTAACAATAGGAAAAGGAATTATAGGGACTGTCAGTATCTACATAATGTGTGTGAATGTTAGACTTTTTTACAGTAATAGTGCATTTCATTTGCATTAAAGAGAATTTTAAAATAGTTTAAAACTTAAAAGGAAAAACTGATGTCTTTTGATTATCAGAACATTGCCTCCGATGAACCAGATCAATATGAAGTGTCATGTGACAGTTCAGAGAAATGAAATGTGACCTGTGAATGACGTGAGAAGCTGATGGGCCAGGACTTCTTCTGGAATTTTATTGGAGGGACTTATGGGTAAGATCCTTGCTCTTCAATGCATCATCCAGTGAACTGGGATCATAATCGTGATGTAAAAATAGGTGGTGAAAGGTGTGGGGTATATCTGACTTCTGTCCCAGTCTGGACTCTCTGATCTGGATTTTTAATTACTTTTAGTTATTTTTAATTAAAACAATGTGTAATTAATTAACCAACTAGATTGCAGTAGCCTGTGTAATATGCCCCATGACATCCCCAACTCTGGGTAGCCGCCCCCACTCCAATCTGCTTACTTTCTCACTTTCACTGGCTACTCACCCTAGCTTACCTGCTCTCTGTCCACTACCAGACTTCATTGCTCTTCAGTAATTCCTTATCTACCCTCAGTGAATTCCTCAGCAATGCTGTTTGAAAATTCCCAGTCCACTGAATCACCACTCCCCTTATTCATTAAATTAATAGAGTCGTAAAACTAAAAGGCAGCTTAGAGAATATCTAATTCAATTCCCTCATTTGATGAGGGAGTAAAGTCTTGCAGATATTAAATGACTTGCAAAGTCACACAGTCCTTTGGAGCCAGAGGTAGAATTTGAACTCAGCTTTCTCTGACTGAGCAGTCATGGTATATCATTGTACGGCTCCACCAAGGCTTAGAGAAGAGCGTGTGAATTGGCAGGTTACTTGGAAAAGCTTTCCAAGGAAAAAGGAATCTGTAAATTGCAGTGTGCTGTTATTGATACAGTCAAATCTCTATCATCAAAATTTTGGTTTATTCTCCTTCCAGTTTATCTGGTCAAATCATGATCTCAAAATTAATGAGAATTGTCACCCCTACTTGGTTTCATTACATGCATGAACTGAAACCACAAGTCTATTTACTCTTATTATGCACATCAGCAGATGACCTCAGTTCTCATGTCATTGAAATCACAGATGCCATTCAAATTGACCCCGTAAACTTCTAGCTGTACAAAGTTTCTCTTTGGTCTTACCAAATCCTGCTTTCTTTCATCTTCCTAATGTTCTTCTCATCTGTGGTTTTGGTTTCAATTTATATGATGTATTACTGCAAATTTATAATTAGGGTAAAATCACATTACTTTCCTGAGCCTCAGTTTGCTTCAGTGAATATGAGTATACTACCCACCTCATGCAATTCTGTTTAAGGTAAGTGAAATAGTACATGTAAAAGCACTTGGAATGGTGGGAATAAAGAAGATAATAATGCTAGTAGCTGCTCATAAAAATCCTCAACAAAATACTAACAAACTGAATCCAGCCACATATAGAAAGGATTAAGTCATCTCATCACCAAATGGGATTTATTCCATAAATACAAGGTAAGCTCAACATATAAAAATCTGTGTAATACAGTTATGGGCTGAATGGTGTTCACTCAAAGTTCGTATGTTGAAGTCCTAACTAACCCCCAATACTTCAGAATGTGACTGTATTTGGAGATAAGGCCTTTGAAGGGGGTAATTAAATTAAAATGAGGGCATTAGGATGGGTCCTAATCCAATATGACTGGGTTCTTATAAAAGAGATTAGGAAGACCATGTGAAGACACAGGGAGAAGATGGCCATCTGCAAACCAAAGAGAGAGGCCTCAGAAGAAACCAATTCTGCCAACACCTTGATCTCAGACTTCTAGCCTCCAGAATTACGAGAAAAATTTCTGTTGTTTAAGCCACCTAGTCCATGGTACTTTGTTACGGTAGCCCTAGCAGACTAATACGTATACCATATTAATAGAATAAAAGACAAAAGCCACATGTGATCATCTCAATAGATGCAGAAAAAGCATTTGACAAAATACAATACCTTCTTAGGATAAAAACTTTCAACAAACTGGGGATATAAGGAAACTTCCTCAACCTGATAAAGGGCATTTATGAAAAACCCACAGTTAACATTATACATGATTGTGAAAGACTGGATGCTTTACCCCTAAGATCAGAAATAAAACAAGGATGGTTGCTTTCACCACATCTGTTCATTGAGTTACTAGAGATTCTAGCCAAGGCAATTAGGCAAGAAGAAGAAAAAGCATCCAGATCAGAAAGGAAGAGGTAAAAGTACCTTTATTTGCAGTTGACATGATCTTGTACCTAGAAAATCCTAAGAAATACACACACACACACACACACACACACACACACACACACAAACTATTAGAGCTAATAAATGGGTTTAGCAAGGTTGCAGGATACAAGATCAATATACAAAAATCAGTTATATTTCTTTTTTTTGAATTTTATTTTATTTTATACAGCAGATTCTTATTAGTTATCTAATTTATACATATTAGTGTATATATATCAAACCCAGTCTCCCAGTTCATCCCAGCACACCCCTGCTTTCCCCCCCAAAAATCAGTTATATATATATATTTTTAAATTAATTTATTTATTTTTGGCTGTGTTGGGTCTTTGTTGCTGTGCGCGGGCTTTCTCTAGTTGCAGCGAGCAAGGGCTACTCTTTGTCGCAGTGCACGGGCTTCTCATTGCGGTGGCTTCTCTTGTTGTGGAGCACAAGCTCAAGGCACACAGGATTTAGTAGTTTCAGCACGCGGGCTCAGTAGTTGTGGCTCGTGGGCTGTAGAGCGCAGGCTCAGTAGTTGTGGTGTATGGGCTTAGTTGCTCTGTGGCATGTGAGATCTTCCCGGACCAGGGCTCCAACCTGTGTCCCCTGCATTGGCAGGTGGATTCTTAATCACTGCACCACCAGGGAAGCCCTATATTTCTATATACTAGCAATGAACTGGAAGTAAAATTAAGAAAACAATTCCATTTATAATAGCATCAAAAAGGATAAAATACTTAGGAATATGACACCTAAAGCTCAAGTAACTAAAGAAAAATATAGATAAATTGGACTGTATCATTAAAAACTTTTATATTTCAAAGGACACTATCAAGATTGTAAAAAGACAACCCACAGAATGGGAGAAAAATACTTGCAAACTATATATCTTACAAAAGCAACCAATTAAAAATTGGGCAAAATATTTGAATAGACATTTCTCCAAAGAAGAAATATAAATGGCCAATAAGCACATGAAAAGGTGCTCAAAATCATTTGTCACTACGGAAATCAGAACCCACTAGGATCACTGTAATAAAAGACTCAGACAATAACAAGTGTTTACAAGGATGTGAGGATGTGAGGAAATTGAAACTCTCATATGTTGCTGGTGAGAATGTAAAATGGTACAGCTGCTAAAGAAAACATTTGGGAGTTCCAGAAAAGTTAAACATAGAGTTACTACATGACCTAGCAGTTCTACTCCTAGCTATATACCTAAGAGAATTGTAAACAAAGGTCCACACAAAAACTTGAACCTGAATATTTATAGCAGCATGATTCATAATAACCAAGAGTGGAAACAACACAAATGTTCATCAGCTGATGAATGGATAAATCAAATGTGGTATATCAATACAATGGGTTATTATTCAGAATAAAAATGAATGAAATGCAGAAATCTTCTACAATATGGGTGAATCTTGTAAACATTATGCTAGATGGAAGATGCCAGGTACAAAAGTCACATATTGTATTGTCCACTTATGTGAAGTGTCCGTAATAGGCAAATCCACAGAGGTAGAAAGTGATTAGGGGTTACCAGGGGATAGGGGTATGGGAGGTGGGGAGTGATGAGGAAACCATTTCTTCTGGGGGGTGATGAAAGTGTTCTGGCGTTAGATAGTGGTGATTGTTGCACAACCTTGTGAATATACTAAAACTTGTATGCCTTATGGTGTGTGAATTATATCTCAATTTAAAAAATAATAATGCTAAGTGTTACCATTTACTGAAGACTTAATGGCCCCACACTTAGCTAAAGGTAACCCAGTGAATGCATGTTATTATCCCTACTTAACAAATAAGAAAACCTAGGTTCAAGGAGATTAAATGCTTTGCCCATAGTCACATATACAAGGAAGCATTTGAGCTGAGACTCAGGTCTAACTCCAAAGCCCCAACATTTAATCACTCCCAGCACCAAGCTTCCCCGATCAAAAATTGTTAATAGTTCCCATTACATATCTGTTAATACTCAAATAAAATATTTATGTGTGTATATATAAACACTACTTCAATATATATGCTATAGTAATATATAGAAAATATGTAGTAATATAGATGGAATATTGTATATATATGCAGTAATATGTATACTATTATATATACTATATAATATGAAATATATAAGTAGTATATAATATAGGTTATATAATAATATATGTATTACCCACAAATCAATAAAAAAGGTTAAGTCAACGCAATAGAAAAATGGGCAAAAAATATAATTAAGTAATTCAGAAAAGGAAAAATCAAATGGTGGCCAAACCTTTGAAAAGATGTGTGAAGTCAGCAGTATTCAGAGAAATGCAAATTAATACAAGACCATTTCTCATTCATTATAATGACAAAATTTAAAGATTTCTAATACACAGTGTCACAGAGAGTGAAGGGGAATTGGTACTCATACATTGCTGGTGTGCAGTAAGATTAACAGCAATTTATACGAATTTTACGTTTATCATTTAATCAAATAATTTCACTGCTAGGAAATACTCTCATGTGTACATAAAGATATTCATTGTTTTTGATAGTGAAAACTTGGATGTAAACTAAATGCCTACAGATACGTACACAATTTTATGTAAATTTTTAGAAAGGTTATTAACAGGAGTTACTTTTGAGGAAAGCACTGAAATTGGATTGGGCGTTGGGGAAGATGGGTAAAATGTTAACAAAACCTTTCCCCTTCCTGCTTGACAATTAGACCCTTGGTTAACTTTCTAGTTCTGTTTCTCAGGCAACTTGATAAGGATAATGTGTCAACCATGCTGCTAGGCAACACTGCACATAGGATAAATGACCCCTGTTTGGTAAAATACATCTGGAGTGAGAGAACTTCTCAATCCCTAGCAGGAAGTCCTATCTTTGGATTTCCCTGAATGCTGTGACTCTAGTAATTAGAAACCTGGAAGCTATGCCTATGAAGTTGTTACAAGAGATATCAGCTCCTGTAGGGAGTGATGCCTGTAAACCAAGGCAGCTTCCATGCTTGCAGGATGGTTGCCTTGCTTCCCTGAGTCTAAGCTGCACTGCTCAGGGGTCTACCACCAGGAATCCTGGGGGTGCTCACCCACACCCTGGCAGACATCTGTGGTTCCTGCTCTGTACCCTTTGGAGTATCCAAGTGTGGTCTACACTCGAGTTGTGAGTCAATGTGTAGTTGAACCTAAGAAGACTGCCCCCACCCCAACCTGTGATGGGCATGGTTGGAAGGGCCTTTATGACAAAGTGAAAATAAATCTGTAAGTTAAAAAATTAGTCTATACACACCCTCCTTTTCAACGAGTAGAATCTCCATGCTGTTCCTTAAATGTACCCTGCACTCTCCTGTTTCACACCCTCCATCTTCCTTTGTTAAAATATTTCCTTTCTTCCAGGCTTAAATTTCCCTTTCCCACTCCCAAGTAAGTTCATCTTCCTCTGAAGTACCATGGCATCTTGCTTCCTTCTCTTTTGTGTTGTAGTTCACATACCTCAAAAGGGTAAACTGGAATTGATGAACTCCTGGTTCCCGCTTGGAAACTATACATATATATATAAATATGTGGAAACTGATGTTAACCCTATACTTGTATTACCAGCCTTCAGACTTTTCACTCTTGGGAAAGAGCAGGGAGTTAGTTTTGTTTGTCTTGATAATAGAATGTAAAGCACTTGGCATGCCTACCATACAGGAAGTGCTCAATAAATGGTCGCTGTCATTTTATTGTTCTCTGCCACTTAACTTCCAGCACCTGCACCGGGATCTATTCCACACCAAGGCACAAGTCTAGTTGCAGATCTTGGCTTTCCCTTCATCTACTCTAGCCTGTCCCAGTGCTAGGCACAGAGTCTTGCCCAGCTCTGTCTCCAGATATCACAAAGAAGCACAAATAAGTCAGGTGGAAACGCTTGGATTTGGCCTAAAATGGAGGCATTTATGTGGGTCTAATTATGCTGGAGTTGTTCCTATACTTAAGATTTTCAGAGATTAGACAGATTTATAGTTTGTTTTTTACTGAGGTTTCGTGACCAGAACTAAGC